CGGTGGTTCGAAGGCAGAAAAGTCTTCATAGCGGAGTTAGTGGGATGGATCAAAACAGAAACTGCTAAATATTGAACACTAATGATTGGTAATGTGTGAATCACGCACCGTAGAATAAGAATTGCAAACAATAAAAGAGATACAGTTGATCGTTTCTCTATATGGGCGATCGGTGGCAATAGGATAGTTTAGACCATTGTCCGACCACATCGGAGGTTAAAGGATTGAATTCTGCCACTAAACGTTTCTTTGGTATTGGGCAATAATTCACAGAAACCGAACCTGTTAGGATATTCTTTGATTCCCTTCCCCTCCATTTGTCGGGTTAAAGTTGCCCGTTAAATTGCTGACTTGTTTTGTATTGCACAATTTTGTAAAGAATATCAATTTTCACTTGGATCTTACTTACTGAGATCGATCTCTCTCGAGGGCAACTTATTGCTTATGCAAAATTATCGATTCCTGTCAAATAATGAACATGTTCATATTGCTTCCTAATCTCAGCAATCGAGAGTACTCCAATAGCAATTTAATAATCTCCAACCACTTTCAAAGATCATTTCATGATCAAGTTGTTTTTAACTCATTATTTTCGATTGCAATTTAATGTTTGTTCACTGCAAGCTCAGTCAATGAACTCATATTGCTGTATTATGTTTGCTACTAAGTCACTCTCGTAACTCTGTATGATAATGAAGACGAATTTTGTTAACCCAATTCAAAATTCCTATTCACAGCGTTGGCAATATTTTACCAGATGGATCAACTGTTGGTTGTTTCTGTTCAATGTGCTCTTCATTGTCAATTGTGTCCTCAACTTGACCGGTCAACATAGCCCTGCTTGCGGTGCACTGACTGTGTTTGTGATGTTCATGTCCTGGATGAATATTTTACTCCAAATGCTCCAGTACGTTACTTGGTAACACTTTATATTTATTCTCAGATATTATTTGCCACATGAAAGTAAGTGGGAGATGTAGTAAAGCTCATGTTCTATTCGTTATTTCCAACGAACGGTCTACATACAGGATCTCCATTTGTGGCTCCTATCGTATGAACTTGTTAGTGTGAACCGGAACACATCGGCTCGACGAGGGAAAGAACTGTGTCAATGATTAGACAAGTTAAAAATGGAACAACCAATCATTGTCGGGTTTTACCGCGAGTTACCAACGAAATCCCCTCCATCGAATGAATAGAGAAGGCTCGACTAAGTGGACAGATGCGAAAGTGCATTCTATATATCGTGGTAACGAAACAGTACCGATACGAGAAATACATGGAACGCAAACGAAAGCAGCGATGAAGCAGAAAGCAAACGGCAAGCGTGTACAGTGGGTGACAACTCGAAAGTGAAAGTGATTCAAAAACGGGGTGAACGGAAACCTCGGAAACGTCAGTTCAGTTAAACATACGCAACCGAGCAAAACGGTGAGGTCGGATCCAAGCGTCAGAAAAGATCGTGTGGAAAATAAATCCAAAACGATGTCCAGAAAACGGTCATTTTATGGGTATGATCGAGGTCACTACAGGCTAACATGGACGTGGGCTGCTCATGCCTGTTCAGCTGGTAGATATAAAGCAACACGCGCTAGAGAGGCGAATCATTTGGATGGCTTGCTTGACGTGTTCACGGTCACTTTTGTCTTTGTTTCATATAGGTTTTGCTGACTCCTTAGCGAACGATGTCCAGACGATCTTGGTTCGTTTCTTGATTGTCCAAACATTATTCTTCCCCATTTTATTTTCTAACTTTCATGTTTTTCTACTCCACTCTATTTCCTTTTACAGCTATCGCTCGATTGGTTTATTTGTTGTCATGTTTATCCAAGTCAGTCAAACGATAATGAAAATGGCACCAATATTTTGCAGTTTGTTTGTCGCTTTTGCGATCACCTTTCACAAACTGCTCATACTACCAGAGAGAAGTGTAAGTCACTGGTGAATATAGTAGTCGTAATCATAATCACAATCATGATCTAAATCATAATCATAATTATAATCCTAATCATAACATGTGCGTACAGTGACCAGCTTGGCCACTATTTAATTCTTTTCAGTAAATAAACTACGTTAATTGTTTTACTATCGTTTCGTGGTCATGGTGCAACAAAAATCAAATCTGTCACACACACACACACACCGGTACCAATCAAGGTCATTCCGTGACGGTATTTAAGTGCGCAGTTATCTGGCTCAATTTCAGTGTGTGAGTCACGTGGACAACTGACCAGCTTGTCGGCGAATGATTCCTCGCTTTCTCAAATATATTGTTCAGCCGATAGTCGACTTAAAACAGTAGAATGTTGTAACTGTTATAGTCATGTTTACAAAATACAGAACTGAGTGCGTTTTGGATGATGAGGAACAAATTAACCAATGCCTTTTCAACGAGGCGTATGGAACGGGTAAATCATAACTATTCTTCTCTCTTAACGATGACTCAGTAGATTTCAATAATCCCAACATGACGAGAAAAAATCTTAATTATTCACTCTTTTATTATACTCAATAAATTGCTTAGCAGTTTACTGGAAATACCCTATTACCGTTCTATGCGAACAGTCTTCCCCAAACAACCGTAATACTACCTCAGCAGTTTTTGATGGTAAACCACTTCTGCTGCGATATCCTTTGTAAGTAACTGATATTTTATGCAACAGCCGACCAAAATACTTCAAACTGAAAGTCCCGGAGAATCAACGCTTGTCTCTCAGTGAATAAATTTCACACACGAACGGAGCCGGAGTGACAGCCAAATAGAATATTTTCATAGATCTTACAGTTGCTGGTTGCGGTGGCGGTTAGAGAACGGCCTACTGTTCCTCTTATGGAAGAAGAATGGAAACATAACATCAGATAAAAATAAAAGTAACCATATGACTTTGATTCAAAGTTAAGTCGTTGTAACTTCAACCGAGTCGTACGTAACTCCACGTGAAACCACCAAGGTTTTCATAGTCAATAAGGTAAAAATCACATATCTTGTTTATCAGTTCAAAAAACCGTTTGGAAGATATACGACTGAGTATATAAATACCTCTATGTAAAACTAATACCTTAGGTCAACAGTGTGGAAAGTAGTGCAGGGGAGCAAAACAATAATTTCGCTAGAGAAGAAAGGAAGATATGAGTATAGATTCAACGGGAAATTGTCTGAGCTTTCGAGTTTGAGAGATGAAGCATCGATATTTGCGCATGCAAGTAATATTATGAGAAGATCAGTGATTAATGTCACTCCGAAGTACTCAGCAGATTCAAATCTATGTAGCTGAATATTGTGTGGGGAATAATGATTATTTTGTAAAATATGTGCGCTACAGGATTGAATTACATTAAAAAACTAGGAAAGGTTGACGGGGAGACCTCCCTGTTCCGAAGAACCCGCAGTGTGTGGGGTGCGTAAACTAGTACTCTACTTACTCGCGACTCTGGTCTTCTCACTTCAGAGGTCTCGCAGATCCGAGCAAAAGTCGTTGTATTACAATATATATATATATATATATATATATATATATATATATATATATATATATATATATATATATATATATATATATATATATATATATATATATATATAAATCGGATCCACCCACGAGTTTAGAAAGTATCGAGAGCAGCCTCTCCAACCATGAAATGAAGTTTCATGAAGTTTCACTTCCAGTTCAGACTACCCAAATATCCGTTTGACCAGTAGGAGCTAAAAGGCTCAACTCACCATTTTAATATACGGAAGTGGTGTACAGTAGTGAGATCGATCTCATTTAAAACTTCCTACTTCTCACACTGATCACGTTTCCAACTTTTGGAAGCTGTTTGCAGCATATTGTCATCAGTCAACTTGGGATTCTTACGGGGTGTACTTCCATACTCGAGATATGCCAGTGTACCACAATGATTAGGTAGCTGAACTGCAAAATTAGCTAAAACAAAATGGATGCTCAACGGACCACACTCATGTGACATTCAAATCTAGGTCATGTGTTCTAAGTAAACCGAAAGTTTCACTCCAGCTTGCCCAAAATGTCCGCAGAGAATAAGCAAATAAAGGGCAAATTATTCACTTATTATCCTCCAACTGTGTTCCACTTGGTTTTGCTTTTTTCTGTCAAGCAGACACATGGTAATCACTTCGCCAAAAATAAATGATTCTGATATGATCAATATTTATTCATCAGTAACTACAATCACCTTTGGAGAATTCTATATTCAAAGTTTTACCAATTTCTGACTCGAAGTTTCGGGACATTTAAATTGGCTGTCAAAATAACACAACTTAAACTGCAAACTGGTAGCCGTATAGCTGAAGTTACCAACAAAATTTCGATAAAATTTCACATTCCAGCGCAGCTTTGTCATATAGTGATCTTCTCTGACTGGGAAACCATTAAAAATGTCTATGAGAAAAATGGTCTGGGGGTCTTAGATCAAAATAAACTGGTTAGACCAAATCCGGCGTCATTGTCTAATGTGTGATTGAATCAGATAGAAAGTGCAGCGCAAACATAGCCAAGAAAACACAATAAAAGTGGAACGAGGTTTCGGGAGAGAAACATGGAGAACCTGAACATGAATCAAATTGTCTTGAAATCAATAGATCTACAAAATGCAGATGGTGAGATGTTCCGATGCAATATTTACAATGTTCACTCGACTTTCTATTCCATTTGTTATTTATTTCCTGAAAGGAATACTTACACTATTCAAGAGAGACGAAAAATCGATTGGCCTATTGTTTCATCGGATACGAACACTTGAATCGTTCTGAGGCGGAGATCCGAAGTCGACCGGAGATGCAACTTCCAGTTAGAGCATTCGGAAATGTGAATATGGCACTCTTTCAAACATTGATGATGATACTTGGTGAATACGAGCATACAGAGGTGATTACCAGGCCCTATTTGGATGGATTCTCTGCCACAATTTACACGGTCGAACTGACATTTGCGTTCTACGCGGCATTCGCTTTTACAATGCCTATATCACTGGTGAACCTAATGGTGAGGTATACATGTGGACCAGTTAGTCACTTTTACCAACATCTTGAGCATTCTGGTTGTATCCCAATAATGGACTGGTGACTATTTTCTGTGATGTATGCGTGAAATTACACTACAAACAACGTGATTGTTGGTTACTGCTGGCAGTCACTGGCTTTAGGCTTTGTTCAAAGATCGAGATAATATACCGTATTCATTCATGAGGCACACGCGAAATCATTTGCAATGACTTTTTCATAAGCATAAATCTGCCGATTGATGTATTTCCTTCTAACCGGTAACTCGGTTCACAGACTCACTCACTCAGTTAAACTGCTACGACACAGGGTATCAATAAATCTTATTTTACTTTCATCACAAGTGGCTACATACAACAGGTTTTGTGTGTATTGGGTTGGAGTAATGGAAAAAACGACGACCGGTGACAGTTACACACCAAAACATGGTGGTACTCCCAACTGAGATATGTAATGTTAATTGTCATGTCGGTTGCACGCAGTTGATGACTAGTTTGTGGTCTATTGAGCTGATGACTAGGATGGACTCATAGACCATTCGGTATTCCTAGGAACACAAAGGGGTATCGTTCAGCCGAATCACAATCGCTAGAGTTCGTCCTTTACTGTTTCTTTCTGGTCCATCTTTAGTGGTGTAGATAGGACGACAGACCTCAATGGCTTCCCGAAAACAATTCGATTTCTTCAAAATGATGATAATTGCGGTTTTACCACTCCTCACTAGTTCTTGCTTCAATATGCTTTCAAAAGGTCTTTTTGGATTTCGACTCAAGTAATTTGCTCCACAAGTGCATTTGAATTGTGACACGATGAGAGTCGGAATCCGCGAATAGTCAGTCTTTCGGTTGTGAGGGGAAAAGTGGTAGAGAGGAGAACTAGACACGAGATCCAGCAGAGAATTACGCACAATTCGATCGCAATTTGAAGCTGCCTGTTTACTTCGATGGCCTCATTGTCTCCCCTTAGAAAGAGAAACCTCTTTTCTTGATTGCTTACCTCCTGATTTTTCAAGATGAGAAATTCCGTCTGCTAGAGTGTATGTTCACATGCTCACTAATTCATTCGTGTACTGAAACACATATTGGGCGTCTTGATAACTTGATTCTTCTCACTCTATTACTTGACTACCAACCAACCTGAGCATGTGGGTATGCTAATGATTATTTGCTGCTCATTTACGGGTTTGTGGACTACCCTCGTTTGACTACCAACTCAACCATGACTTCACAGTACTTGGAGTCTCCTGGTGAAAAGAAACTCATCATCAGACCGGATTGTTGTGTGATTGTGTAACAGTATTATCCATACAGTTCGAGTGAGTGGAAAACATCAAATCATGGTATGCTGGCTTCAAACGATCAATCAAAACCTAATCCAAGGAGCACTTACATTATCATGAGCGGTTCGAGTTCAACACTGGGATGATGCCCCATACACTGATCATGTGTCTCAAGACTTGGGGAGCAGATATTCAAGAGCCAATGGGAATGCTAATCGATTCATATCATGTAAATTAGACTGAAGCCTAGAACAGTTGGATCTCACAGTTTGAATAATGTACTAAATAGCTTCTCGATATAAGTTAACATCCATACATGAGGTAACCAGTCATTCAGGCCTATGCATGTAGCACCAGTCATTCTTCGGTCTGTCAGACTTCGATTCCAACAGGCCTACTAAAATAATCAAAGTGTAAAAATACACATTTCAATTTCTGTACCCTACTTCAGGCAGCTACTACCCTTTTACTAGAGTGACGTTTATCAACAAGAAATCTCATCTATTCCTTGTATTCTAAGCTCTAAACTGGACAGGGAAACGCAGTGACTGTCACCTTCACATGTCCACCAATATAAATCGCCTATGTGAACCTAGAAAATGCTCGGTACACAATGTCAACAAACCAAGCTGAAGGCCTGGGGAAAATTATCAGGTTGCTATTTTAAGAGGGGTCTTCTACAACGTCAAATCTCCGCGGCACAATCAATATTTATGGGTTCATTACCATCATCTACCGATATGGCCCGAAACGAGAGAAGCGAACTAATACTCATATTAGACAAGTACTCAACATTATTAGTTGATGTTTTCAAAAACCTAGGGTCCTTTGATGAGAAGAAGATCATGGACCTGATCTTTATGTGATAGTGTAGTGGCTTTATTCACTTAAAGAAAAGAAAAATGGGTACTGGCTTCAAGCTATCTGTCAAGAACTAAGCTAAAGCATCTTGAATTAATTTATCAGATCCCAGATCCTTTCGGAGTGTATCGAAAAAACGACGCGCCATGTGATACGTTATAGGTAAGTGTTTATTGTTCGGTAACACAACATTATTAGAAAACATAGTAGTCAGTCGACGCTTCGGTTACCACGGGTAACCTTTCTCAAGACCAGTTTGCAATCGAGAAAGGTTACCCGCGGTAACCGAAAATTCGACTGACTACCAACGTTTCCGATAACGCTGTATTACCGAACAATAAACATTTACCTGTTAAACATCTGGGTTGGCGGAACAGACACTCAATACATTACGACGTGTTCTGGCCTCACTTTGTGAAATGTACCATTTGCTGTGTACAACCATGTGGTCACACACACGTATACAGTTGACGTTTGGGGAGTTTCGTCCAATCAGACTGCATCACGTGTTGCATGAACTTGCGCAGCTTGATCCTGTTGTACGATGTTTTACGCTTCCGATTTCATACGTCACTGAATTACGCACTTGCACACGTGTTTGCTCTTCACTTGCGTGCTTGTACTGGCGTTTAGAGTACGTTGCTACAGAATACACGTTCACCCGTACAAATGAGCCTTCATTCTATTAACCGAATTTGGAACACAACACTATTGACAAATTTTATCGTGGTCCTGTGATAAACCCCAAAAGCTCTTCTGCAACAGAGAATAGTATACCGATGAGTCCCTGACTGTGTTGTGTATCTCTTCAATAGTGAATACGTGTTTGGTAGTGAGATGGTTGAATTTCATTGCATAATTCTTTTCTTTTCGTTTGTTCGTGGAGAGGAATGAAATTCGAAAGTATACCGAATGCACCATAGAAGAATACGATATCGATCACAACTAATTCGTTGATGCATGATAAGATTGAGTCGCTTTTAGAGCGCCCGTTGTTTCTTTAGATAGCGAGTTTCATTTTCAACACTAACGTGAAACTATCTTTTATTCGTGATCTGCAATGAATTGTGGATTTTGATCACAGATTGGTCTTGCAGTTGGAGATATTGGTCAGATTCAACGATCTGCTACACTTCAAGTGGTCGCACAACAAGTCTACTGGTTGGATCAAGTGGAATCAAGGTTGTCGAAGTGGCTGCATAAGAAAGCACAAGTGAAACACTGGGTTATTCGACCACCTCTCACATTCAACAGACGAGTAAGTGAAACCATGGAAATAAATCTCCCTGAACCAATTTATTTCGGTCAGGAACAACAATTGGTAGTCGAAACCGGTTTTTGGAGTCTCAGTCAGATTATTGATTATGGGATGTTCGTTTTTGATATTCTGTTACCATTCTTATTCATATTAGCTGATTGCAAACTTTCGAAATCTTGAAAATAGATTTGTGTCTTCGTCATTTCGGTTGGATACATTGTAGTCGAAAAAATACTATATTCCGATTTGTTTGTTTGTTCACAGAATGGTTTGAAGTAAATATGTGACTTAATCATTAATTTGCAAGTTTGAAATGGACGTGTTTAGGAATTGGTGTTTTCGGGATGAGGTTCTATCAGCAAATACATTACATGAGTGCTGAAGTCCCTTGCGTCACTTCACTCCAAAGAATGTTTGATGGATGCAACTGACTGCTTCTCTTTTCATCTATCGTTTTACAGAAACCTCACACAGTGGAATTGAAATTTGCGCTTACCAAGCTAAACAAGGAGTGAGTGAAAACATGTATTCGGTCGAATTCGATTGTAAACTCGGTTTTTAACAAAGCATTCGAAGCGAATTATGATCACCGAAAGCCCACCATCAGTGGCTGATTCAGCATTACCGTACACTAATGGAAGAACACCACCCCTCTCCACTCATCTCATCTATTGTGACAATGTCTCTATTGTCCCGATAAGATGTATGAGCACAAGATTGGGGATCAGTGAGACAAAATTTTGCCCTCCATTTATGCCGTTCTAATGACTATGGAACTAGTCAAAATATATATAGCATACAGTACCCAATATTTCACATTTTGTGCACTCAGAGTGGAACTCAGTTTCGAAAGTATAAGAAATGCTAATAAACCCACTCGGTGTTTCTATTTTTCTGTGATTTATTTCAAACTGAACCATTTAGAAGGACCAAAACTGATGTGATTATTTGTCAACTTACTACTATATCACAATGCACACGGATTTGATGTGTGGAACAGATAAATGAATTTATTCTCTTAAAGGAATTTGAGAGGGTGCGAAATGCAAATAATCTCACGCCTAGACAAATGGCTAAAACTATAAACTGGTCGGGAAAAGCAGTGATCTCTGTTAATAAATATTGAAATACAATATATAAGCATGCTTGCCATTATATTCGGGATGTTCTCAAGTCATTTGCTGTCTCATTCATCGAGAAAGACCGACTCCAACTTGCGCAAAGTGGTGAAGACTCTTCCTTTCGCATAGGATCACCTAGCTAATACACACCATGCATTTTCAATCAGGTTCAAGTCTGGACTGTGGGCAGGCCAGTCCACGGCCATGATACTCCGGTACAATGATCACATTCTGATGGGGTTGGCCGTAAGTACGGATGTATTTCATCTTGAAAGGTAACGGGCCTCAGTCGATTAACGGAATCATTGGGAGGAGAAATGCATTCGATATTCTCATGTATGCTTCAGATATCTGCTTCTATTCTAGAACTGCTAGATGAGAATTTCCTTCTTCGAAACTGCACTCCGAGACCATCACAGAGCCATCCCCAAAGACAAGATTACTGAGTTCCAGCTTGCTTTCCCTGAAATTGTACCAGTAGTACATGATTCCATGAGGACCACCGAAATTAAACATTTTCTCGCCGCTCAATATCCCACTATCCCATTCAGCATCACAAGTAATGGGATATCTGGCCCGTTCCTCTTGATCTTGGAAATGAAATACAGTCATCTAAGGCATCCACTTCACCTTTCAGTGCTACAAATGTGGTGCAGGCTGTAGAAGTTTCTTTGGATGCCGAACACACACATTCGGTTCTAAGAACCTATGTAGCTTTGACTCACTCGTGAGATGGTTCAAAGCACCGCACAAGAGTCCCTTCACAGACTGTTCTGGATATTTGTCTTCGAATTCCACGTTTCCCTTTAGCCAAATAAGGAATTGAATCCTTCAAAATTTGCGAATTATTGTCGATTTGGGCATTTTCTTGGGATTTTGGCTATCTTTAGCCCCATGTATTTGTATTCCACTAATTCTCCTTGTTCTAGATCATATAGCTTTGGATTTCTCGCCATCTCTTGGTTTTGACAAGTGAGAGGTCTCTACTTCTAATTCGAAAGCACTATTCTATTGAAATTCGTTCGCGAATCACCAAAGACATGGATACTGCTGAGCCAAACATCAATGAGAATTGAAAATGAGCCATTACGGACTAAGGTTGGTGCGCTTGTAAGCCAGTTCGAAGTTTGTATCGTATTTTCAGTGGCAGGTTTGATAACATTTCGCACCCTCTCAAATTCCTTTAAGAGAATAAATTCATTTATCTGTTCCACACATCAAATCCGTGTGCATTGTGATATAGTAGTGAGTTGACAAATAGTCACATCAGTTTTGGTCCTTCTAAATGGTTCAGTTTAGAATAAAACACAGAAAAATAGAAACACCGAGTGGGTTCAATGGCATTTCGTGCACCATATAACACTTGATCATTGTCTGTGAAATATCTAGAGCGACTCTACAGAATTTGATGTCTTTCATTTGCACGAACCATGATACCTCCAGTACCACTGCAAGTGGAAGCAAGTGGGACTGTATGAAATAACTTCCAATAATTGATTTTCGCATGTCATTTTCACCTTCATCCTTTGATTGTGGATACGCACGGGATTTCCTGTTTGCAAAGTCCAGTCAATGTGAATGGAAGGTTATCTCATCAATTATCGATGCGAATAAATTCACCATAAAATCTTCGTCGGAGAAACTCTAATGCTCTGTCACGAAGCCTAACTGAGTAGTTGTTGAACATATATGAGTTCTCATTGACTTTGCTCGATAGGAATTGATGAAATTTCCACGAACAAGAAGGCACTTAGCAAAAGATGGTTGAATAAAACTGCAATAACTTTATGAATTACCACTCCCCTATACATGCTTCTCCACAATCTCTTCAAGTTTCTTTCATTTTAATTCTTGCTTCCCACATAATTTTACTTCTGGAAGCACTATTTTTCGTTTTTGTGCAAATTCGGAGATGATTCAACGATTATCGAAAAATGTGCTTCCGTCATGGTTCTTCTGTTTGTGCTGGAATTTTTCCAGTTATATGGGTTGCGAATGGTTGGTTGTTCGTTGTTGTTGTTCCTTAAATTGCCCCGGCCTCTCTCCCTATCAGTCTCGCGCGAATCAAACGTCGAATGGCGTACATGGAAAGTGTCCTAGATCAGACGGTTGAACAGACTGGGATGGGATCGTATAAAACACAACAGGATGTTGGAATTTACAGTGATGTGAGTGGTATTAGCGATTATTCCATAGAACCGAATTTCAACTTTGTACGTCCGTGAATATTTCATCCAGATAAACTACGGATTTCTATGTGAAATGAATGTACGACCTAATTTTTTGCGCTAAAATTCTTCAAACGATAGAGTGAAACCTTCGAAACATAGTAAAATCGTAGGGCATAACATAATCGCATTACGCAGAGTATTTGCATACTTCACGAGTTAGTCGCACTTGGTAGATCGACCCATGCTGTGGCTTAGAAATACACCACTATTTCCGCTGACAGTCAAGGAAATTGAAATATGAAACTCGGTATTGTGATGTTAACCAATAGCCAATCCACAAATCAAAATGCTGTGAAAATCATGAATGAGTAACCAGTGCGAATGCCATTGTTCAAACAGCCGTCTTGTGCATTACACCCCAGAAACACATACTGCTCTCCGATAACAACGCAAAATGACGTCTTATGCACAGTGGTCTGAAATTAGTTTCATATCAGGTCACAAAAGAACCCCATTAACATAATCAGAACAAAGGATGTAGGTGAACATCTGTTTTCAATGACTTGGTTCTCAAGCCATCACAATAACATTTACATGGTAATGAAATGTGCAAGGACCTGATCAGAAGAAATAAAAGTGTCTCATTGAACATTTGAGAGATGAATGTGTGATGAGTAGGTGGACAATTTGTTTTTGACCTAGCAACGCTTACTCGAATGACTGGGTTGCGTAGCAGGTGATAACTAATTTACGTCACCACTAAGCTATTGTATGGTGTAATCGATTTCCAGTCAGGATAGTTGGAGTGTGGGAACCAAATTTCGTTGCGTGCATAGTTCCGACCTCAACAGACAAATGCCTAATACTTCGGCAGTTGCAATTGCCCAAAGCCCGACTGAACTTCACTGTGACTGGCTCCTTGGGTTGAATATGCCGGCTTCATAAATGTCGCTGATCACGACTGCCGATGCTAGGAGGTTTGCCGCAATCGTAGCGTAGATAACAGAGCGTGTAGATGACGTGGTCGGGAATTTTCATGGGTGTTTTGGTGCAGTAGACCTCTTCGGCATCACTCGGCTTTATTCCGCGGGCACACCTCTGGCATATGCACAAGCAACTGCGGGCTACAAAGCAGCAGTGCGTTCACGTATGGTTGCCAGTGTCTTCCTAGGAGCAAATTATCCATCGAATTGAATTGAATCCGACCCAGAGGTTCATGCAGCCCTGTTGGTTTGGTGGATTTTCTCTACAGTCGTTAGTAGACAGTAATTCTTCTCCTCCCACTAAGGCAAACCTGTCTTTGTATGCCGAAAACCGTCCCACCGAGGTTTTTGGACCTCGGCAACTCTCAACCCGTTTTATCCCACCTGTGGAGCAGTTTCGTGGGTCGTTGCCGCAAATGCATTATTTAGCTTTGTGGAGCCAGATGTAACAGTTTGGTACATGATGGAGACGAAAGAGATGTAAGATACCCCAAGGCCACGACAGTTCAACAACTCAGAGGTGCTACTCGTATCAGATACCACATGCAATCCTTTGTACTTGCTGCACTCAGATAGATAATACACAGTTCAGTTGTATTTTCCGCATCCAGATGTCCAGTACCGGTAGCCCGAATCGAACCGGTGACACTCAGCTTATCGAGATGGTCTACCAGGTGAGCTATCGCGATACTGTCAGTCGGATGTGATTACCGAAAGTGAATATCCACTGATGCGTTACTACTATTCCAATGATGCACAGCAGTGCCGCGCTGGACTTTTGGAAGCGAAAAATACAGGCGAATTTTCATTATATATAATCCGGGTACCTTGTACCGACACGGATATGTTTCACTGTCCATTTGGTGGCATTCAGTCATGTGTTGCTCGTATTGTTGGAAAGGTACCAACGGAACTAGTACAGTGATTGAAAGGCCTACAGTTTCTGTCTCACTGGAATAGCGGATGCGCATCCTTGGATATTCACTTGCGTTATTCACACGCAGCTGACCGCATCGTGGCAGCTCAGCTGACAGAGCGTCTACCCGGTAAACGGAGGGTCACCGGTTCGGTTCCCCCACGCGACGCTGAAATCTTGAGTTGAAAAGTGCAAGTGAATTTTCCATTACTGAAGACCTAGGTGCCTCCTGTCGAAAACACATTGCACGAACATGTTTTTATTTATTTTGCAGCAAATGTTTCTAGAAACAGCCAGGTTTTGTGTAGTCTGAGACAATCAGTTAAGGGAGGATGACCGTGTCACACTACTCTGTATGCAATTAGGATAGAATAAATTTGTATGGATTTCTCATGAAGTGGGTATGTGAGTGGGTACACGTTGCCTACTTAGAATTCCAACGTATGATTACTGAGGCAGTAGTTGGACCCACATCCTGAATACTTAATTGATCTCTTCGTCTTTCGGGTGAACAGATTTAGTATAGTTTCAATCTCAGTTGTTCATTGTTTCCGAAGAGCCACAGAAATCCTCGCGTGCTCTGTGCTTTGTTAGCCTACGATTAGGTATTGCGTTTCTATGGTGCACATCGTCAACAGCTGTCTGTACGAAGGCCAAAAGGCACAACAGCTACCTAACAAACTTCCTTCAAAATCTATATGTACATTTGTGTTCTAAATAACTCGTACAATATAGGTCCTCATACCAATGTCATTAGCTATCTAGTTTATATTTATGATCCATTCAGGGTATCACACGGATTCGTGTTTCATCAGCATCCACCAAATGCATTGGCTATTCGGCACATCCATGCGTTTGGCTGCATGATTTTATCGAAAAATGTGTAGAATTGTCTACTTTATACTCTGTAGATGTTGCTTTTTTCTTCAATTCTCTTCAGGATCCGATGATCAAGGATTAGAACAAACAGATGGAAGAACAACTGCGAATCCAGTGGAAACCTGTTAACGAGTTCACTGACATTTACAATTGATTCAATTCCCCTCGTTATCATCGTAGCCAACTCTTCTCACCTCGAAAATGAAATGTAGTGTGCTACTCAGGTTTTTTCCACTTTGCGCAAACACTGGAGGTAACTGAAAAACATGCGGATTTGAGGCTGCGATTTGGGTGGGCAACTTTCTCTACGAGGATCTATGTGAAGAATCGTTGAATAGAATATTCGCATTGTTATATCATAAATATGTTGTATACGCGAGGGTCCACTTGTTGTTCTAGTATGCACGCGTAAACTATTTCGGAGAACAGTTTCCACAAACAACTTCGTCAGTAAAATAACAGCTGACTCAACGGAGGTTGAGTAGGACAGTTTTTCGTCAGTAAATTCGCATCTGCCAGACCAAATATCGTCTGATGGACTGAAGACTTTTATTTTTGAGCCACGTGGTTTTAAAGGGACTCATAAGACCATCAATCGGACAGAAAATTCCCGGAAAAACATGTTTGATTACATTCGATATAATTCATGTTGAATTGCAAAAATGAATAATTCCTATATAACGGCCACATTAGAGGTCACCATCCTGTAGTTCGATTATTACTGAACACGTGCAACTTCCTTTCAGGAGATCATTGCCCCTTCGTGTTACACCTATTCGTATGTCGAATTCGGTTGTGTTCATACTCCATTTCGATTTGGGATTACTATTCTCATTAATTCGGTAGGATAATATTTCACAATTGACGTCGGTGCAATTAATCAAAACCATGCACATTTGCAGTATGGAATTTCTGAATTTAAATGCTTCTTAGTGTGATATTGGGGAATATTTCGAATGATTCGAATTTCGGTGTATTGTTTGTGAGAAAATTTCCTATGAATGTAAGATCCCTGTATTCTAGAGTTTCTTTTGAAAGATCAGCATATTCTGTTGCTAAGATTTCGTTATTCCCATAGGAGCTCTGTATCACTGAAAACCGACGAAATCAACAAAAACTTGTGCTTCGGTAAATTGTATCGGTTAGTTTCAAAATTTCTGAACGGGCAATTCCACCAACTCAGTGGAAAGATTCACAGGATTTCCATGAATTTAGCCTTTAGCTTCACACACAAGCTGCACGGTCTGATTTCGTAGACCAACTAGAAACACAACTTCGTGACCGTCTGATTTCTAGTATTAAAAGTAAGTGGTTACAACAAAAGCTGCTCATATTATATAATGCTAAATAGTGATTGGGAATAGATTCGTAGGTACGAAAACTGACCAGCCTCAACTGAGCATGATCGCGGAAAATACCTACAGCCAAAGCTCGCTGTGATCGTCCAACTTCTATTCTATATTAATTATTTGCTTTGAGGAAACAGATACAAACTAGTTCTGCAATACAATTAAAGCGCAATTTCGCAGGCGTCGCGTCCCTGTTATTTCGGTTTGTATTGTTTATAGTTGCAGTGATTCCATCACATCCCATCAGTCCGGGTATTGCGAATAATACCATTTGTGTTGCATCATATAACTGCCCAATACTGAACGGCTAAACCTGCAGGCTGGCGCATCTGAGATTGAAGACTGCATTGAACGGTTCCAGTTGTGGTACACCATACGAAAGAATGTGAAAAAGAGAATCAGACTAATTCTTCTCAATGGCTGGCGACCGTTCAATGTACTCGTTGATGAAATGAACTTGCATACCCGAGAGCCCATGCTACAGTTTCGTTCGATAAGTTGAAGGCTCTGCTACTGAGTCACGAAGTTCCGGTCCATTTTCAGGCGACCGAACGTGCCAAGTTCCATTCGCTGGTTCATGATCCCAGCATGAAGTTTCGTCAGTTCATCCTGGTACTACAAATGCACACTGCGAAGTGTGATTTTGGGGACTAATTGGAGACCCAATTGCGTGACCGTCTGATTGCTGGTGTAAATCATCTTAACTAAAAATGGAACTAATTTTGATGCTCGACCTCACGTACTCTGAGGCCCGGTCAATATGTGAGCAATTCGATGACGTATCGGAAGCGACGACTGAACATTCCGTATTGCACTACCAACACTTTTGTTCTCGCAAACCAGCCAGCTCGCGACAAACACGTGAACCGAAGCCGGTCAACAAGGTGATTCCCGAATGCAAACCAGCGCAAATGTCTCGTCGCCTTTCAAGTGGCGAATTCCATTTCCCTTCCGACTGCCGCTCTCATAATGCGGTTTGCCATTCTGGTCATATTCACAATGTGTACCACCAATCCGATCACAGTGGGATGACTGAAACCCATGAGGATCCGACAAATGATGACAATCCGATGTACGGTGTGTTCTTCGGGAGTTGCTACACCCATGGAGATTTGAATTTCTACCATTACTACTGGAAACAACAGCAGTAGCTAGATTGTGGGGTTCGGGTTCCGATTCCGTGCAATCATTCGGAACGCTTGGCCCGTATCAATCTAATGACGAAAGGTCAAAAGGTATTTCACCATCGATGAAGCCGGGTTTCCTGTGGTCGTTTGTTGTTCAGGTGGGGGATGGGTTATCCAGAGTCCTAGCATCAGTTGTGCTGCTCTGTGTCCCATTTGAACACGAACCCGCATGATTTACGTACGCGACTGAGAAGATTAGAAAAAATGCTTGCATCTCACAATTTATGTCTTCTATCTGTTTGATGAACAATGTGAACTCGTTCATTGTGAATAAACGGATCGTGATGGTCAATTGAGCAGCGTCATTCATAGAAAACCTGAGTCGAATATGTAATACCTGATCAGAAGTACGTCATTCAGCAGCATAGCATCTAAGCTAACCAGTTATCGGTAACACCTAATATATATTGACTTTGGTCTCCTGAATGTTGCAGACTTAGGGTAATATACTTGAGTTGGAACAATCACTAACGGTTCCTGGATTGTGATGGTTCTTTGATCGCTAGTTCTCATCAGCAACCTAACTGAAAACTCAAAATAACACCAACATGATGATTATTTTATGGGAATACAAAAGTCTCATCTGTCCTGACACATAGTCGTATCCTCCTGTCGATAATCACTGGTTCTATTGATTTTATGTCGGCTTTCCCAATACTGCATGGCTCATGTAATTGAAACTATCGTTCACCGGTGTCATGTGTTGCCGTCGATTACCTCCAAAAGGCACATCGTAGCCTATGGTTGCAAAAACAGATGAAGGTCACATGTGACACCTTAGTGGCTAGTTTATTGTGTTGGGTAACGAGATGAACGGATCACGGACCTGGGCTCGATGACCACAAATAAAAATCGACTGTTGCTTCGCTAGTATTCACAAGACCTGAGTCAACAGGCACACCGACATTAGCGAGATCCTGCCGAGTAAAGATCCTTACTCGGCATAAATTTGTCAGCAAAATCGTTGTACGTATTAAATTTAAGGAACACAAGTGTGCCATAATTTTTAAGAATGAACTGCCAAGTTATACTTTATTTAACTATCCGTGCTATCACTCATAAGATACCATTTTTGAAGTGGTGCTGAATATTTATCAGGTAATATGATATCGGTAAAAAAACGTGTATGAATCCTACTTTTGACCTAACCATTGTTTATCCTGTCTGTAATCCACTTGATAAATTACATAAAATTTCCATCGGTTACTATGAAAACGACCCATTGGCATTCCAATTATGCACTAAATTTGGGCAATGAAATCTAGAACCAATGATTGTCATCCTAATCAAAACGTGGACGGTACTCTTAGTTCAGCAAACAAATCAGTCACAGTTTCCGTCACATTCACCGTGTGACACGAATATTCATGCTTGTTCCAAATGGAAAGTTCCAAAGAAAGACTCAGTAGGAATAAATGAGTCCTCGGAGAATTGCGTGATCTAATCGTGGAGTTCTAATTATCGTACTTTACCGATTAAGTGATTACTCTCACTTTTGATTAAACGTAGTTGTCCTGGGTTTCTAGTTGTTCCCAAGACTATCGTTAACTGAATTCAAACATTCAGAAAATGTAAGACAAACGAGACTGAGATAACGGAGGGGGGAGGTGTTTTGATTATTACGAAATACCTCTGAACATGGAATGTGGTAATAATAATTCGAGGACAGATAACTGTAGGCATGGTAAAAAGCTAAAATACTGTTCATCACTCTCAGGTGATAATGTTTTAAAGAATAATCTCTGTGTCTAAGTACAGCTTGATTATTTCATGGATGGGTCATCACAGTGTGCTTTCTCGTTTGCAATCTCTGCTATTGTAAGTTCTTGAGAAATAAGCTTCATTAAGCAAAAGGTCCTCGGTTAGCCAGTTTTATTCATGAACAATGAAGTCTCCCACTTTCGTAGTTCATTTGTCAATTCTATTGTGGAATAAACTTCCCTGTCCTGGTTGTGCACAAAATTCGCTGTTTCATGAACAAATAAGAAAAACTTGGTTGAGACAGGTAGCATGATTTCACCAACGGCTGTTGTCGTTAAAGTTCATTGGGATGGAGTGTCTGAGTTTAACGTGTTGCTCACGCTGAATAATCTGTTTCCTCGGTCGTTCTCACTCACTCACTCACTCACTCACTCACTCACTCACTCACTCACTCACTCACTCACTCACTCACTCACTCACTCACTCACTCACTCACTCACTCACTCACCAAATCACTCACACACTCACTCACTCACTCACTCACTCACTAGATCATGAACGTATCAGATTGAAGAGGGGGCTTGTCAACAGGTATCATCGGGTTCCCACTCTACGGAGAGTCATGGAATTTGACGTGAACGAGTTTTGTTCACTAGCACCGACAGGACACCAAGTTCCCCCACCCCACCCGATTAGTCGAAGGCTAACAGATCAGTGAGCCGTTTGACCTCACAAACGTTGTCATAGCCTAGAGTTCTATGTATACTATTGTACCCCATGAAAAATCCGATTACAAACAAAATCACTTAACGACTACCAATTTGACGGGATTGGTCTGGGTTACG